GAGGGTTTGGAGATGAGGGCTGCAGGGATGTGAGGTGCTGTAGTAGCAATGGCTCACTTGGTGAGGTCCTGCTTTTCTTTGGGGAAGCTCCTAGTCAGATCTGTCATGGATGTAGCCTCAAAACAGCCCTGGGAATTCTCTGATTTTTAGGGCCAGAAAGGACTAGTAGCCCATCTAGGCTGAGCTAAACCACATTATGAGTTTATCCAACTCACAGGTGGGTCAGCTGAGAATCCAAGAGGGCAAGAGACTACTGAAAAGCCAGCGAGGGGCAGGTCCAGAGCCAGCCAGTTGGCTGTGTTGCAGCCGGCAGTGCACCTCGCCTTCCCCAAACAGCGCAGAAATGACTCCTGGCATCACAACGTAGCCTTGAACTTGCCTCACCTACACCAGTCTGTCTTTAGTGCCCTCTGGGCCAGACTGTCAGCCATCCTCCTTTGGCTCAAGGTGTGCGAGTGCGCTCACTTAGCACAGCTTTAATAGGTGCAGCTGCCCATTTTGCAGGTGCCCTTAATGAGTCTGTGGACTATAAACTAACCCAGCTCATTATAGGCCCCTGCTATGCTTTCTGTAGCCTTGTGCTGCCATACCCGTGTCTCTCATACTCTGCCTTACGGGGCAAATTTATCTTTATCCTCTCTAATGATCTTTCCTTTAATCGAAGGCAACACAGCTTGGAGTTGGCTTTGGTGAGGAGGAGAGGATCCAGAGATGGGTAGTGACCTGAATACTCGCTGTGTGGCAAAGGCACCAACCCTCACCTCCATGAACTGAAGGAAGCTATTGGACTCAATGCAGGTATCAGTGGGTGAATTTATGTGCTGGGGTGAAGCTGGGCTATGGGACCAGAAATGGTCCCGTCTGGCTTTTAAGGCTGTGAGCCCACTGGCAGGGGAAGAAACCAAGAAAGATCAGCATAGGCTTGCATGGGGGTGGGTAAATCTTAAAAATCTGCAGGTTGCAAGGTTTGGGTGCACCGAAGCAAGCCTATAGTTTGACTACCATCCTCCATGGCCAATTTATACTGTTAAAATAGCATAATTCCTCTGGCATCGCCCAGGTTATTTTGGGTTTCCCCCGGTGCAAACGGGAGCAGGATGCGGCGCTGTCACACCGTACAGTATTTTCAGCCGGGCACAGCAGACGCCTGTCTGGCAGCAGCTGTGAAGATTGCAAATAGAGTTTGACAGGGAGTCCCGCTAATCACACTGCCTGGGGACGCGTTGGTTGGGACTGTCGGGATCTGTCACTCGGCATCGTGGCTGCCTGCTCTGGCGGCAGTGAGAGGAGACTGGCGGTAGCATTCAGCTGCACAGCAAATCTGCTTTGGGAAGAACGCTAGCATTAACTTGGAGAGGCTTTAACAGTACTGTGGGTCACTTCTTGCCTACAGGATTGGACCTGATCTGGTTACCGATTGGTAAGTCCTGAGTATCCTTAGTTGCCCCTGAGAAGCTGATGTAGTGAAACCAGAATCTGGTTCAAGTTGTGAACTGATCCTTTGAACTGCAGCCTTTGCTGTCAGCAACACGTGGTGGTTATCCTGAATACGATCAACCATGAGAGGGGGTGGCAATACTCAAATGCATCCCAGGGGGGTTCAGCCCTTCGCAGAATGGAGCCCATTCTGTGAAGGGAGCAACGAGGTGCCTGGGCTTTGAAATCGCAGGTTCCTGGCCCCAACCTGAGTCGAACCAACAAAGCAACAGCAGCACCATTGTGTACAATGAAAGATGCTTCTGTGAGAGCAGTCTTTGATTTAGACTCCGCAATGAAAGGGGCATTATCCAAGTGCAAATGACAGTCTTGCCCGTGTTGCCAAACGCATAGAATAATAGCAAATCATAGAAAATGAGGGTTGGGAGGGAGCTCAGGAGGTCATATCTGGTGCAACCCCCTGCTGCAAGCAGGACCAGCCCCAACTACATCATCCCAGCCAAGGCTTTGTCTACCTGGTCTTAAAAACCTCCAAGGATGGAGATCCTACCACCTCTCTCCAGTGCTTCCCCACCCTCCCCGTGAGAGAGTCTTTCCTAATATCCAAGCCCAATACAGAAAGGTTTGAAAGCCATTGATGCTGTTGCACTTTGTCCACTTCACTCAACGCGAACCATCAAAACTTCGCCCTAATCATCTTTACACCCTTACTTTTATATTGACAACATCTCATAGCAGCGGGACTGTGGCTGCCGTGGTTCCCCTGCTTTACCTGTGGCATGTCTTGCCTTGTGTCAGGGTTCATGGTAGTCTTATGTAGAGTTGAGATTACGGTTTCTATTGGGAGGTTTGGATAGAGATGATGCTGTCGCAGGCAGGGGGTTGGACTAGATGACTTCTGGAGGTCCCTTCCAGCCCCACTCCTCTACGGTCAGCATCAATACTGTCACATTCAGGTTTCCAGCACTGTGGGGAAGTGTTTCCTCAGCACAGATTTTCTCTGAATATTTTTTGAATGTATTAAATCTAGTCTATAATGTGCTCGTGTGCCCAAATCCTGAATTATGGACCACAGTTAAATTTGGCAGTGTCCCTTTAAGAGACATTTAAAGGGGAGGGTTTATTATCCTAGAATCATTTAAAAAAAAAAAAAAAAAAAAAAAGCAGGGCTGGAAG